ATAAAAATGGAAATAGAATGAAGATCATGACTAAAAATAACTATCCAATGGTAGTAGATACTATTTTTATCACAATATATACTACAGCTAAACTATTATTCTAATCTAACTAACTCGTCGTAGGTATAAAAGCCTCTAAGTTCAGTCTTGAGGACAATATTTCGCCCCGCAATGTCTTTGGGTAAAGACTCTCCTAGTCCACTGCATCATTGCCAGCAGGTTGTCACTGCCGTATGTCTAACCAAGCCACTGGAATACAGGAAACTACAAAAGTATGGGTTGACAAAAGGGAAGAGGGGATATCTAAAAATGTCTAAGTAGATTAACAAGAAAACGAAAAAGTAAAATTGAATAAAATATTTCCAGCTTCCTTCAAAGACCTGCTTCTCAAGACCTCTTCTCAATAAGAAATGCTCGATTGGTATATCCTTTCTTTTCCTAACCGTCTGAGGAACTTATCTATTATTGATCTTGATTTCCTTCTTGTGTACCATCTGAGAAGACTTATCGTCTAGTGGGAGTCTTTACTTTCAGGATATACTTGGTCCCAACTTTCTTTGGGCAGTAATTTTTTATCCACCTGTAATGGAAGGGTGACTTATTATGGACCCCAGGTTCTTATGTAACCTAGTAAGAACTAGGTCGTGTTGTTTCAGTGTGATATCTTCCAGCAGCCATGCCTAGTTTAAGGAATTTTACTGGTGTACATCTTCCATTACCCAAAAGGTCAAATTTTTTAATGTTACAAGAATATCAATTTTTGATAATATATATATATGAATATATCAAAATCTCCAAAAATATATTACTCAAATCATTATATAAGTTTGTTAAATAGAAAAAGAGAAAAATGTGTCTTATTTCAATCTTTTTTTTCTTGAAACTATCAATGTAAAAGATTTTAATATCCTATAATTATTTACATTAGAATATATAACTTATAGTAAAATCTAAATTCTTATAAAATTGAGAAAATACATTTGAACATATAAGGTGATCAATAGATAATTATTTACTTATTTTACTAATATAAGCACTATTTGTCCAATCATAATATGAGAAACTTTGTGCTATACAAAATTCAGAATCAAATTAAGATAGGCAAATTTTTTTAGAAAAAACTCAAGAATGAATATCATTAGAGTGGGAAAATGACAAAAAGAGTGAAAAAGTTGTTTCTTGTTATTACAAATACTTTGTGTTATTTTTATACAATGTAAAATGACAGTACATTAGTTTTTTTAATTTCAAAACTTTTTTGCCATAGATAAAAAAGTATATACTAGACTTTGTTGATTACTAGAAATCAAGTTTTTATTTGAAGAGGAGTAATAACAAGAGATGGAAGAAAAATATTGATGACTTTTAAAGTTTTCTTCATTTTGAATTAAGTAAAGTAGTAATAAGATTTATTAATAAAAAAGTAGAAATATTTTTTGCAAATATCTTTTTGTATGTAGTCAGAGGATTAACAAAAAAAAAAAAAAATAAAAAATATATATTATATGTAAGTTCATAATATTTAATCATAAATTTTTTATTTATAAATAAAAATAATAAATTAATTTTTTTCAAAAGCAAGTGCTTCACATCGTATGCGCTATATAAATTAAAAATATCCATAATTGATATTGAATATATTATGAGAAATAAATTTATTATTTTAAAGCTTTAATACTATATTTAATAAAATATTATATCTTTTATAAATTTAAATAATTAAGCTTATCATTATAATTAAGTTTATTAATGCATTTTTTTAATTTTGCTTTATGACACGAATTGATGATTTAAAAACAAATCATTGGTTTTATTTTATATTCGACCATAAAGATATAATATCGCACATACTGTAATTTTGATATTATTGGCTACTTTTAAAATTTTTCATCATTTGATCTTTAATTTTAAAACATTTCATTCAAATTATTTTTCCCTAAATAGACGGTAATTTTTATTTATAGGCCTCGCGCTACACGTGACCCCAAATGAAATTCATCATTTTATTTATCCAATCGACGTACAATCAGCAAGAATATCTTTATCTGATTTGAAAAGGTTAAAATGGCCTTGTAAGCATAATTTAATTTAGGATAGGAACGACGACATGCTGTAACTCTATGACCAAAATGATAACAATAATTAGCTCGAAACCAAATGGCTAATAAGGCAAGCAATGGATTAGAAAGAAAAACAGTCATCTTTATGTTTAAGAATGCAATTGATAATCATTACTATGAGATTTTCATTCCACAGACTTAAAGGAACAAACAGGTCGAATGTAGCACAACCCAAATTCAAAAAAAGAACGACCGGCCATCAAGGCATTCTTCCCAAAAAAAGGTTAAAAATTTAAGGGAGAGGGTAGGTATCAAATATGGGCAATTATTCTTGAAGGCGATCAAAATATTAAATATGATTTTTTCGGCCCCCATTTTTTAATAATACGTATATAATGCAAATTTTAGGATCACAATTATAAGGTCCGAAAAATCCCTGTCCGCCTTCGAAAATAATTACCCATATATCTAATGCGGAAAATGCATCGTGAAACTTTATACTGTACCATGTTTAATTGTACAATCGTGTTATGGCGTGATTTCATTATGCCACGCAGGGGTTCTGCGATAGTATCATACCAACTTTAAGCATTGTGACACGTCCGTAGAACGTTAATTCATTATTAGTGTAACACGCAAAGTCTCCTATTATACCTTTCCCTTGTTTTTCTCGCACAACCCAACAAATCTTGAAATCAATTGGTTTGCGATCAGAGTTCTTTGGGACGTCTGGTGTCTTTGTTTTTTTTTGTTTTTTTTTTTTTTACAAATTGCAATTGGATTCGATACCCTATATTTGGGATTCCAACTTAAAAAAAATCGGTGCATTTAGCGCAAAATTGGTTAATTGTTTCATCAAAGAAAAATTGTCGTTGTGAAACAGAGAAATTGTGCTCATTGTGTCCGAAGATGGGCGGGATCCGCCTCCGAATTAGTCATTTTGAAAATAAACAAGTTCTTTGAAACTCTACCTCATCCTATCAAAGGTTTAGATACTGAGCTGACAAGGATTATTTCATGTTCGACAACTATATGCAGCGGCATCTCAGGTCTTTAAAGAAGCGTGAATTTGAAATCACCTATAAATACGTAGCCATGGCCACGTCCTTCGTTTCTTCTTCACCCCGACTTCAAATAGAAAACAAAGTCCTGGTCTTCATTCCGCGAAACAAAGTTCACATAGTTCACCTCTTTGAACCTTACCGAGAAAGTTGCTTTACGGTTTCCCACGGAAATATATATTATATATAAATTAACAAATTCTCGCTGAGCGAGCTCAAATTCCCTTAAAAAAAAAGAAAAGAAAATTCTCGCTGAGCGAACCCAATTCCTTTGTATTATTACCGATCATCGCCTACAAAATGATCCCATCTTATCCAAGAGTAGTTCTTGACTTCGAACCTTCCGAATCTACCAAAAAACCGACGGAAGATCCCGCATTTGACAAAGGTCTCGACACTTGCAAAGGAAAAAGGGATGTCGATCAACCGAATAATGGTTCCAAGGAGATCGTGAAACTGTCCTCGTCCCCGAAAAGAAATTTCCACTTCGAAATTACCAATGACGCTCAAGAATTCGTCGAAGTATACCAGAATCTCGTCTCTGAAACCGAACACGCTGTTCAGGAAGAAGCCGCAGAAAACTTAAACAACACTAATGAAGAAAGACGAGTTTATCGGAATATAAAAACAGCTTTAAAGAAGTTAAAGGATGTCATGAAAATAGTGAAAAACTCGATCAAAGAGGGTATTCAAGTTTCGGTGATTATAAGGAAAGTCATTTTCTTCCTCGAAAAATTAGGAATCATAGGGAGAATCATGGCCTTTCTCGAAAAGTACACGAGGCCGAAAATCATCAATGGTACTAAATATGAGAGTTTGAAAGATTTCGCTGATGATGTAGGGGAGTTGGAAGATTCCGTTGGAGAATTAGAAAATAGCCTTGACGATACGAGAGAATTAGATCAAATCGACTATAAAAAAGATTGCTTGTGGCAAGAAAGGGTATGTCTTGCCCGCGGAATCATCATGGCACCGATTTTCATTTACGAAAGGAAACAGAAGAAAATCTTGTATTATAAAGCCATCAGGTTAGTTAACAAATACTGTGAATTACGGCGCGTCCACTTGGGATCTCATTCTAACCATAATTTTGCGTATGCGCGTATTTCAGTGAAAATCATATGCTAATAGAAAATCTTCTGGCCTTATTCCAAAAATTTTGGACTACAAAGTCAAGGTAGATAGATGTCACGCTTTGTCAAGCAATTCATTTCTCAAAAGTGATTTGTATGTAAAGTGCGAACGCTAATAATTTATTTATTATATCTCAAATAAAAAGCTACGGCACAATAGGAATGACCCGCAAGAGCATCAATGTTGAATCCCAAGAAATTATCGAGCAAAGGGATCGCGACAATCTCAATGTGATGGAAGATCAAGATAAAATCGAGGAAATCACTTGCCCACTTGAAAAAGACGATTTATATATCGATGAGTTGGAAGATTATGAGAAAATCGAAGATACATCTTGCCCGTTTGGAGATGACGAATTCGAATTCGATATGACGGAGGATCATGATAAAGTCGAAGAAACTTCTTGCCCAATCGAAGAAGACGATTTCTTTAACGCCGAATCAGAGAGTAACCGAAATATGCGAGACCTGGGTGAAGATTTCTTAAAAGCGAACTGTTTCATTAAATCCGATTGTGACCAAGCGATGAAGGGTTTACACGATGGCAGCAATTTCCTGAAAGTCGATAACCAAAACCTACACGTTTCACCCCGATCATTTGATAGGCCTCTGAGGTTATCTAAGGATTCCAAAAAATCTCATTATGAGGGAAAATACCAGGAAATTTGGTCGAAATTCGCTAAAAACATCAAAGTCGATGATTTGGCAAAAACTGATTATTGGATCCGATATTATTTCGCCAAGAGGAATGATCCTTTTAGTGGAGAAAAATGTTTACTCAAGGCTGCCGAAGAAGGTCACGCACAATATTGGTACGCTTATCTCGCCATCAATAGTTATATGACGGAAACAGTGACCAAGTGGAATTATCAGGAAGCAATGATAAATCATTCCGGTATCTGTAAACCCCAAGAGTTGCTATCACCTCAAATCGAAGAGATTAGTGATTCCGGTATCATTGCGACTCAGGAGGCACCAACACTTAAAACTCCGGCAGGTAAAAACGCTGCAACTCGGGAATTATCGGCACTTCCAATTCCAACAGTCAAAAATATCGAAACTCGGGATCTATCATCAGCGCGAACCGCAAGGGTTAAAAATGCCGTGACTCAACCATCTCGACTCCCATTACCCAAAAGTAAAAATAGACAAGCAAGTGAATACGCTAAAACTAGGAGATCGTTGTTGCCGTTACTTAAAAAAGAAGCCGGAACAGTGATAAATGTTCCAGCATCATCTCGGTCATCTCAGAGTAAAACTCGACCAACAGTTAAAAGCACTGCGATTCAAGGACCACCGTCACCAATTCCAAAAAAGGAAACCGAAGCCCCGGAAAATGTTCGGATACCATCTCCAGTGCTTGAAAGTAAGACTCAAAGATTACTGCGACCTCAGATTTTGGTGCCTAAAAACAAATTTCAGAAATCCAGAATTCCAGTGTACACTTATAGACAAAAGGTTAGTCGCGTAGATTAGAGTATGAATATGATATATAAGGTGTACTTGAATTCATTTTTGAATATGAATTCAATTACATATGCTGCATATTATCATAAAACTTTTCAATCCTGTATATATCATTCTGTGTGTTAATGACCTTTCTTTCGAAATTTGGATAGATAGATAGATATGTAAAGAAAAATAAAATAAAATATTGTTTTGAGTTGGCATGTCAAAATATCTTTTTTTTTTTTTTTTTTTTTTTGCGTGAATATATTAAATCGCACGACACGTTCAAGTTCAACTGCAGAGTATCCGTGTCTAAAAGAATTGAACTTCACCACCATAACTTTATCCTGGCAATATTCACATGGTTTATCGTCAGGGCTCGCGTTTATGTGAAAAGAGTTAGGGGCCAAGTTATTTTAATTAAATGAACATTTACGCTTTTCTCCAAATCAATAATAGAAAGTTCTCATCATTATACAAGTTTGTTGAACAAATTAACGCTTTCATTCCCCAAATTCACAAGGATTGCAATTATTTGAGAAATTCGCACATATTCCAATAACTCCCTCCTCGTGTGGAAAACGGTGGCTTTAATTAAATTATTTTTGTTCTTCCATGGGTTTATGAGATGGATCGTGGGTGGGAGGTGGACCACGAGGATGATGAGACGGTAACTCGTGCTCCGGCTATTTAATGAGGGAGGGGAAACGCAAAGTCAATTAGGTAAACCGGGAATTGCAATGAGCTTATATATGAAAATACCTCTTGTTTATAGTTTAGCTTTGTAAAGAGAAACAAATAGAAGTTCGCCAGCAAAGCACCGATAACTGGTCCGACGTAATAGATCCAATTAGCGGTACCAAATTCACCGGTAACTAAGGATGGTCCGAATGTCCTCGCCGGATTCAGACTTTAGAACGATCAAATGAAGAAGAATTTAGCACCATTTACGACATAATATCTTTGAAAATGACCAATTATGAGACATGAGCAAAAATTTACCTGCCACCCGTATACGGACCGGCTAAATGTGTCAGAGTTAGGTGACGTTAATTTAAAGAAGAAAATCTGAAATCGAAATACGTTACCTGCAATTGCCGAAATGAACAAAGCCCAACCAATGCCTATGGCCGCGTTCGCATGGATAGGTTTTTCGATTGCCAGCATGAGCACCGTGAACGTTAATATGGAAGTGGCAATGATCTCTAGCAACAGACCCTGCAAAATTGATGTACCTTCTGCCTACATTAAAGAAAAACTCAATGAATCACAAGATTTCCCTTCCCCCCCCCCCAGATAACATTCTCGAGCATGTTTACCAAAACTGTTGCGCCACCAATTGGTGGTGGTTGTGATATGCTGATCAAATATGCTCCCAATAATGCCCCCAAGAATTCAGCAACAATGTAAAGGAGCCCCTTGATAATGTAGAGACTTTTGTGAACCATTAACGCTATGGTGATTGCGGGATTGAGAACTAAGAGAATGAATGATCAAAAGTTGTTCATATTAACTTTAACGGGTGCACGCACATACTGCGTGTAAATAGTAGCCGTATCGGGGTTGACTCAATGCACCACTAACCTCCACCCGAAATCGGACCCCAAATCCAAACATTTACTAAAAGAGAAAAACCCCAGGCAAATGGAACCGCAATTACTCCGCTGAAATAAGAGATAATTTTTATTTGTTTGACATTTTTGTGAGATGTTAATTTGAGATCGGATAGCAAATGGATTCCTTACGTACACACCAGGATTAGTATCCAAGATGCTGTTTGTGAGTGCAACACCACCTCCTACGCCTAGTTTTCGGGAACGTCAAGATGAAAAAAAACAAAACGACTTTAATTGCCATCATCCACGATGTTACGAAATTACGCAGATCGATTCTAAAAATACCGAAAAATACAAAGTAGGCAGTGCCAAAAAATTCGCCAAGAGCTGCGGTCAAATCATGACGTGAATAATCGAATCGAACCATCTCTTATTAAATTTAATTAGATGAATTAGTCGATTTTTCGTTCTACAGTATTTGTGTATATAGATTTGAAAGGATTGTATCAAAAAAATCGTAATAATTTGGAATGCATTTCTTTTTTTTAGAAAAAAAAAAAAAATGAAAAAAAAAAAAAATGAGAAATATTTCTCTTGATGACAGAGGACACTTTATAAAATTCTGACGTATGGCTTATGCAAAGTATTGATGACGAAATTTCATTGAGTCTCCTAATAATTTGTGACAAATTAATTCCCAAAGTATTGTATTTTCAAAACGGTTCAAGGGAAGTTATCTTATTTACACGTTACAAATACCCATGCCTCAAAAGTAGCTTCAAAATATTTTCGTAAATATTTTCGATAAACAGAACGCCGTATACAGCATATTCCATATATCAGCCAATTATATCGTGGCTTATGCATCTGGTCTCGCCTAATGTTGCCACAAATATCACAAATATACGATTCGTCATTAAAATTTTCATTTCTGCTCATTACTATAGTGAGTTGAGTTATCCTATTATTCTGAGAATTGAACCTTTGGTTATTGAAGTTTTGTTTAACCATTTTTTTTTTTTCATTTTTCAGTTTTTGAAAAACAAATTATTGATTAAAGCAGCGGATTTTACGTGAGTAATGAGTTCTGCAATACATGGCATGTTTGTTTTTTATTATTTTGAATCTTCTCGTGGGCTAAATTTTGAAGATAAAGAGGTACACTACCCAGCCTCAAAAATTCTTGGAAAAAAAAAACGCCGCTAGCGCATAGAAATTACATACTATACCTTGGGGAAACATTATTATGAAAAATAAAACCCAATGTCTACACTTTATATTTGTTGTCATTCCACAGAGACATGTTAGTTACTTAGTGGCCGTGACCACGATAGTGCATGAATTTTAAGGATATTTGCTATCCTGAAATATCTTCAAGTTTTGACATAATTTGTCATCATTTAAATTTAATGTAATGATGATGTTTTTGATTGTTGTGTCAATTTTTTAAAATATAAAGATTGATTGTTATTGTAATAAGGTAGAAAACCAAACCCATGTTTGCATAAGAGTCAAAAGATGTCAAGTATTAGTTTTCTTCTTTCTCTACAAATTGGTTTTATAAGATGTGTGAAAATCAAATTGGTAAAACAAAATTTGTTTTGTAATTGTTAAAGTCAATGTCTTGCTAAAGTATCTATGATATTTTATTAGTTTATTCATTAAATCCAATTCTTGACATGCAGTTGCATTTATCTATTCCATATATAAAAAATATTGTATTCAAAGGTATTATATATTGTATTGTTGAAAATTGTATTAGCCAGATCAAGTTTGTATTTAAAGGTGTTAGTGAGTTTATTTATTAGAGTATAGCAGATGTTTTTTAATAGCACTATATTATTCAAGAGATATTCAAAAGAATATATTTGATAATATATCTTATTTGTTTGTCAGTCACTTATTTGCTATCTATAAATGTTCTGTTTGTATAATCTTATATTGTATTAATTGTTTTTAATATTGTTTGAAAGTCTTGTTATTATATCAAATATCTAAAATCTTAACTAGGATGTTGTTTTCACAACCTGAAATATATTGATTTTATATTTGTATATCTTGTTTTTTGTTTGAGTTTTTTTTTTATTGATAATAAAAAGAAAAGATTTATGTAAATTAATTAATTAATGATATAGAATTGTTCTATAATATTTAGTATAATTGTTAGTTCTAATTAAGTCTCTATTGTTTATAGGATATTATCTATATAGATGCTAATTGAAATATTTATAAATGGGATATATAATTTAATAATATATTATTTAAAGTTATTATTTATAATATATAAAAAAAGATTATAGAAAATTTATTAAAAAAAGGGAAATAATATCTCCTTGATCTATTTTATTTATAAAATTATATTCTTATATAATATTATATTATATAGTAACTGCATTTGTTCTATTTTAGAAAATTGTTAGAAATATAATAATTATTGATTGTGATGACTTGATATATTCAAGTGTCAAATTAAATATATAAATTTTACCAAAATTATATACTTTGAACATGATATAACTGAATATTCAAGCTTGTTTATTGTTATCTTTTATATCTTTTATAATACAATTTAGAATATAAATAAGATCTTATTTATTGTTTTTAAATAAAACTGTCTAGTTAAAATCTGATAAAATAATAACTTTTGTATTTTGGATTGAATATAAGGTATATTATATTTTTAATTCATTTTTTATTATACAGTTAGTATTAAATATATCAATAAAAATTCATAGTAAGAAGTAATTAGTTTTTTGATTAAAATGCTTGTATACTTTGTAAGAGATTGAATTATTATCTAAAACTAATTTGAATCTTCTTTATTGAATAGTATTTGATAATTCTTCAATTGTTATAGATGTCAATAAGTCTTAATACTAATTTTGTTTTATTTGTTCTAATAGATTATATGTGAATTATTAGAAAAAAAATTGTTTTAATGATCATATATTACTTTTAAAAATCCATTAATCAAAATATTCTTTGACTTTAACTTTTATTTTAATAAGCTAATAATAATATACAGTATATATTGTTACTATCAAAAATAATAATTTTATCCAAAATAATAGATCTTATAGATCTGTTTAATATATTATTTATTATTGTTTTCTTCTAGTTTATCAATATTACTTATTATTTAATATTAAATTATTTAATGTTTATTATTTGCAAGTATTTATTATAATTAGTATAGATATTTTGAATTTGATTATAAAATTCTTGATTATTATTTTTCATACTATTAAGTCTAAATTTGTTTTTATTAGTAAGGATTCTTTTTTAAGTTCTTCATATAATTTTGCTAATAATATTTTTATTGTTGTAATAATTGTATCAATATTAATTATAATATAAGAGACAAGTTTACAATAGAATTATTGAAGTTGAACAAAAGCATAAATATAGTTTTGGTTGTTTCTGAAATTACAAATTTTGTAGTATGGTTTAATTTTTGTTATACAAGCTTTGATAAATTGATAAATAATATGTATAAATTTGTTTCACTTGTAATTTATATTGTTATACTTGAGAGTATTTTGGTTTGCTATAAAGAAATTTTTAATCTAATTTGTAAATTTTTTTCAAATTGCTATGGAATTATATATTCAATTGAATTTATAATTTAATATATGTTTTGTTTTAAAGAAAACTTAGTTTAGTTAACAAGTTTTTATTTTGGTAATAGAACTTGAGTAATTAATGTCTATAATTTTTTAACTTTATATAAAATACATACATTTTTCAATTGGCATGTAGAGAATAAAAGAATCAATATTTGATCTATTTTTCTTTGGTTTTATTTATTTTGTTATGTTAATTTTTGTCTCATTAAGTTGTATTATTTATATATATTAAAAAACCTTGTTTCAATAAATATTTGAGATATATAGTATTGGAAGTAATTAAAATGTTTTTTGAAAAATATTTGCATTTGTTTAAGCTTGAATTATTTATTGCATTAAAGTTTTCTAGACTATGATTTAATAGTTTTTTGTTTTGGCTTCATTAATTTATTATTTTATTTTATAAAAATTATTTTGTTTTTTATTATTAAACTAGGTGATGAAAAATATATTCCTATAATTCTAACTTCTTGTTTATTGGAAAAGACCATATTCATCAATAAGAATTATTTTTAATAATATTAATATTTGAAGATTTATTTGGACAAATTGATAAATAATACTAATATCAATTCCATATCTTAAAGTTTATGCTTTTTTATAAATTCAAAAGAATTTATAGTTACAATATAATTAGTGTTTTAATAATTATAAACTATCATTTGTTTCTGTTATAATAATAATGTATCAGTTATTAATATTATAAAGTTTAAATCAAAAATATCTTTTGAGATTCATTGATAAATTGTAAATGTTGTGAGTGATAATATTTTAAAGAAATATGTATATAATAATAAATATATATTATTTAAAAAGATATTCATATTTATTGAATCTATTATAGGGGAAAAATATTGTTTGTATTACTTATTAATTGAAGAAAAATTGAAAAGTGATATTAATTTGTTAATTCTTGTTTGATTAAATTTGATTTCTACTATCTAGATAATAAATGCTTTTCTATTCAGGCTAATAATATCATATGCTTTAGCTATATCTTGAAAAGATATCTATAACTTCTTTTTATTTTTTCTTGCTTCCTCACAAATGTTATTGAGAATTTGAATCAGTTCTGCTATACTTTCTCTTAGTAATTCTATATAATTAGGTTATCTCAGTATATTGTTGATCTTGCAAATATTTCCCAATCTGTTTGTGAGAATCTTGGTAAAGCATTTTTGTATAACCTTCAGCAATATTATTGGTCTTATATTGAAAAGTTCATATC